CTCCGCCCCACCCGAAGCGTCGCTGACTGGTGTTTCTTTCAGAAATCGAATGCAGGCGCCGCGCAACTCGGAGCGCAGACTTTGCACTGCGCGTGTTTTGCCCCTGGCATTTCGTATTGCGATCCCCCACACACTGCTCACTTTCCTGCGCTTATTTGCGCCCGCTCCCAATGCACGAAGGAGCTCTGTCACTCTGGCCGCTTCCTGCGCCGCCACGAGGACCTCTCCGTACTCTTCCAGTTCCCTCCCCATCTCGCCAGGCACGGCGTAGTCCAGAAGAGCCTGAAATGAAACCGCCGGCAGCACGGCGAGAAGCTTGTCCTTCACCAGCGCCCGAAGCTCTTCCTGCTGCAAACTTCTCCCACCTTGTTTCCGGCTAATCCCTGCGTTCTTGCACGCTGTCCATAAGCCCTGTCGATCCGAAGATAAACCTTCCAACAAAGCACTCGCCTGCGCAGCCGCAAGGTCTCTCAAGACACATGACCCGAGATGCTCGAATTCCGCGCGCACATCGGCAGGCGCGGCTTCCAGCAGCGTCGCCAAGATTATTGCGCCAATGGCTGCGCAAGCATCACTACAAAAGGCAAGATCTGTGTGTTTCTTTCACCAGGGTGCCTGAGTTAGTGAGTTAGCTAGCTAGGTAGCTTCTTCCTTTGTTCTCGTTGTTTTGTCTCTGTATTTCTTCCTTTCTATGAATGTGGCGCTGTTGCTGTTGCTGTTGCTGTTTTTTTGGTTGTTGTTGTTCAGAGTACCATCGAGACGCCGTCGCAGCACAGAAGCACCATCCAAGCATGCCCAAAGAAAGGGAAACAAGCTCGCGCGGACAGGGCGGGAATCGAGCCCGGGACCTTTCGCCGGAAACCCGTGCCGCCGGACCACGAGACAAAACCCCACGGTCCCCGGAGCCGCCAAAAAAGCAAAAAACAACGAGTTTGTGCGAGCCTGCGCAGTCGAAACGCACTTCAACATCAAGCAAAAGCAAGAATCTGCGGTAAATACCACGCGAAACGCTCGCGGACAGAAGTCGACACCTCACTTTGCGCGAGCCTGCGCAGTCGAAACGCATTTCAACATCAAGCAAAAGCACGAATCTGCGGCAAATACCACGCAAAACGCTCGCGGACAGAAGTCACCAACTCACTTTGTGCGAGCCTGCGCAGTCGAAACGCACTTCGACATCAAGCAAGAGCACGTATCTGCGGTAAATACCACGCAAAACGCTCGCGGACAGAGCGGGCACCTCAATCTGGCACCAAGGCCTTTTCTCTTACCGTGAGAACCCCTTAGTGTAGACACACTGTTTGGGGAAAAATGGGTACCCTTTTTCTAACCTCTCTACTGGAGGACCTAGACAAAGTTGGTCGAACCATTCGGGCGCTCAAATGCAGGGCGCCTACTGCTCTATCCAAGATGCTCTTCAAGAAGGACAACACGTGAGGCGCGTTTCGGGTGTGCAGGGATAGCACAAATCCTAGTGACTATCAGAACCTTGGTGTGCCAATTTTTCATGGGGTGGGCGGGCTCTTTCCATGGCTCCCTATGGATGCTTGATTTACAAGGGATTCCACTTCCCTGAGGTGCTTGATACGTGTGGGCTCTAGATCATTTGAGCAAACAGGAGCAAATCAGCAGTTCGGTCGATCGCTTTTCTTGGCCACTCCACAGAAAGGAGACATGCCACACGAAAGGTAAAGGAGAGTGACTTTTCTGAGCATTTGAAGCGTAACCCAGACCTCCCGTGGAGCCTGTTTGCCCTTTTTGGGAGGTTTTCCGTTTGTAACCAAGTATCAGACACTGAGTGCCTTTTTGGCTCAAGAGTTCACTGGTCTGCACAAGAGTTGCATATTTTTTGCCGGTTTTGCGCAATGTCGCGCAGCCGAGCTTGGATACTGATTGTTGCCATCGCAAGCTTGGCCACCTCGCACCGCGCCGAGCGCACGCACGAGCCTCTCTATGACGTGAGCGTCCACGTTGGCCCGGGCGAGCCCGTTTGCCTGGACGTGCCGCCGGCTCAGCCGACGGGCAGGCCGACCTGTGAATGCGTGGATTGGAGCTTGCTGCCACACAAACGCCTGGGGGATGGCCGCGACTTGGTTGCATTTTGCCAAGGGATGTTAGGACTGAATATTTTTTTGCCAACTAACGGGTTTTCCACTACCCTCCCACCAGCTAACATGGAAGTGCCCGGCCCCCTGTAGAAAGACTACTTTCCTCTTAGAAAGGGCCCTTTTTGCACTTCCATGTTAGTTGGTGGGACGGTAAACCACTAAAAGTTAGTCACTTTCAGCAGAGCAGAAAGCAACTGAGGCGAGAAGTCTTTGCTGCTGCTGCCCGACAACTTCTTTGATGACGCGAAGATGTATCTTTGGTGCATTTTGCTTGGATGTTAGGACTTAAACTTTTTGCCAACGAATGGGTTTTCCATTAAACTATAGAAAGCAACCGAGGTATCCCAGGGAGCCGAACTTCGGCACCTTCTGTGGCTTCCACGACAAACACACAGCGCCGCTCTGCAACGGGCCTGTGCCTCCAGCCTGGTGCAGCAAGGCCTGGTGCTTTGTGACCATGGCTTGCATCAAGGATGCCAGCAACAACCTGACGGATGCTGCGGAGACACATTTGGAGCATGACTCTGCTTTCAAGCTTTATGCAACCTACATGAATTGCGACTCGAGCAACGACCAGGTGCATGCGCAGCACTTGTCCGATTGGCGTTGAGCGTGCGGCTGGCCACTGCGGGTCTGGGGGGTAGCAGCTGAAGAGTGACAAGTTCGAATTGATCTGGAGGCTAATGTGGAAAATCCGTCCTTTTGATTTCCCTTTAAAGCGACCTGAACACGGGTACCCTCCAAAAACACAAGCCCATATCGCCGAGGAATCCCAACAAATGAATCGATTCACAACTCAGAGAACGGCTACCCCTGATTGGTGCGGTCCTGCAGACTGAGTCGAAGTTGACATTGTAGGACAGTCGCCTGCAATATGTTGGTTCAAAATAACAAGTTGAAGGCACTTAGTTTCATTTTGATGCAGGATTTATTTTTTCCCTCTCCAAGAAACTGTTTGTTGGCTTAGCTGCGGCAGCGCCCCAATTGAGTAATCAAGCAAATGCCAAGTGGACCGGACCAAAGCCAAGGTTCCCATTGCTTGTTTGGTTTTCTTTGGACCGAATTTGCGCTTTGCCTTTGTGGAGACGGGATTCCCCTGCAAATGAAACAACTTGTGCTTTTGCACGGCACAAACCCACTAGAGCGACCCAGCTTGGTTCTGTTGCCTGTCTCAAGAGCAAAGCAGTAAACCGACCGTTTCTTTGCGTCTCCTCAAGCACAACTATATATATATATATATATGAATGTATGTATATATATATATATTATGCAAACTAATATATATATATATGTATATGTGTATGTAAATGTCTACAGTTTAGAGGGACTTCTGACATATTCCACTACACATGTAAGTGTTAGCAAGAGAGCAACAGACCGGCGGATTTGAAGCGGAAGATGCCCGCAGTCCCTCAAACATGTCCACCAAGCGTCCCAAACTAAAATTCGTTCCCAAGCCTTGCAGTTTTACAGGGCTCCTTAAAAGAACTTCATTTTGCAACCATTTGAAACATGGCTTTTTCAACACCAAAATAAAGGGAAACCACCATTTACAAGGCAATGTTCAGGTGTATAATGTAAGGATCCCTGTTTTACCTGTGTGGGGTTCCGGTTTCTCAAGACCAATTCTTGAAATTCATGCAGCTTGAGATTCTTGTCTCCCTGCTCTCTGCTCTCTCGCAGTTGCATGGCTCAGACGACGCTGGTATGGCTCTTTGAGGCTTTTGTTTGAGTTGGTGTACACTTGGGAGTACGGTGTACTGTAGAATCAAACCAAGGCATGATCATGAGGATTTTGTGGGCAATTATCAGGACAGTTCCGACTGGAAAACCAGTTGGTTGTGTGGTGTTTCTTTGCCATATGGCCAACCCGAAAGCATGGCCCGTTGAACGGGCTCTCTCTCTCTCTCTCTCTCTCTCTCTCTCTCTCTCTCTCTCTCTCTCTCTCTCTCTCTCTCTCTCTCTCTCTCTCTCTCTCTTTTCGGCGCGAAGCAGCGAAGCACACAACGACACCGTGTTGTTCATCTTTGCTTGGGCTTCTCTTTGGATTGTGACCATATGGTTATAGCGCTACATATCCAACTCTTGTGCTTACCACAGCATAGCGGATGCAGAAGATCTCCCCGAGTTCCTTTAAACTTTGGACCACTGCAGCGGTCAAGAAGCGCATCGGGGTTCAAGATTCCCTTCGCCCAAAGGACCATGAGGACCTGGTCCCGTTGAGTGGTTGAGATGTGGCTGTGGTTGTCAAAACCGGTTTGGTACCATTTTGGTTGGTAGGTGCACCACCCATTTTAGAACCTATTTTAGTGGGGATTGGGATGTTCACTGCGGGTACGATTTGGCTTTTGACCCATGGCCATATATCATCTTTGTTTCGTGGTTTTCCAACCCAATGTTATTTTATGACCTTTTGATCAACCCCCTACATAGAGGTTGTCTAATCGACGGTAAGAACTTGGATCTGCTACAGGCGCGGCAGCCGCGCAGGCGTGCAGGCGCCGTTGAAGAAAAAGGCTTGCAGGGCGATCGGGTTCGTTTTCTGAAACGGACATGTTTGTGATTTGTCCAATGTTGGCTTTAAATGGAATCGATTTCACTGGCACTGGACACATATTGTTTCCCATTTTTTCGGGGGGGGGCAAGAAAGCCAATGGAAGGCAGGGTTCCCGATATTTTCCCCCTGTTGTTTTTGTTTTCGGCATCACCTTTTGGGGCCAATCGAAAGTGATTTGTTTGTCGATTGGCCCAAAGGGGAGTTTTGAAATGTGGGGAAGTGCGGGTGTTTCATTGACTCATAGCCTGCCTGGCGCTTTTTCCTGATGTTTTTGGTCTTATGCGCATTCCTTGAGTTCATGGACTTTAATAGAACGGGCTACGCCCGGGTGCCGCCGACCCTGTTTTTTTTTGCGGGCAGTTAGCGTCCATGTGTTGCAGCGGCACTCGTCCCGCGCCATGGCGGGGGTCGGATCGCATAGAGCGCAGAGAAAAAAGCCCACCAGTTCCTGCGCAGGCAGGTTCGCGAGGCGTGTTTTTGCACATACAGCGCAGTCCAAAGACTGGCTTGCAACAGCATCTCGACGCAAAAGGCCCGCTAGGCACCCAGGAGGCGCCGGCGGAGAAAGCAGAATTTGAGTCAACATGTCAAGTCATTAGCTTCCATAAGAAGTCAACCAGGTCAAACCCAGCCCAGGCACGGCCGGGCCGCAGTCACGCAGAGGCGCGCCCCCCGCGCCCCCCAAAACGCCCAAGCGCAGTGGCAGGGCGTGCCCAAAAGTACCAAAAATGGAGCGAAAAGGCGTGTGCGGAGGGTGGCGGAACGGCAGTTTCGGAACCCGTTAGGAAGACTAGGAGGGGCCCGGGAGCGACAGGGCCAAACCCAGCCCAGGCACGGCCGGGCCGCAGTCACGCAGAGGCGCGCCCCCCGCGCCCCCCAAAACGCCCAAGCGCAGTGGCAGGGCGTGCCCAAAAGTACCAAAAATGGAGCGAAAAGGCGTGTGCGGAGGGTGGCGGAACGGCAGTTTCGGAACCCGTTACGAAGACTAGGAGGGGCCCGGGAGCGACAGGGCCAAACCCAGCCCAGGCACGGCCGGGCCGCAGTCACGCAGAGGCGCGCCCCCCGCGCCCCCCCGCGCCCCCCGAAACGCCCAAGCGCAGTGGCAGGGCGTGCCCAAAAGTACCAAAAATGGAGCGAAAAGGCGTGTGCGGAGGGTGGCGGAACGGCAGTTTCGGAACCCGTTACGAAGACTAGGAGGGGCCCGGGAGCGACAGGGCCAAACCCAGCCCAGGCACGGCCGGGCCGCAGTCACGCAGAGGCGCGCCCCCCGCGCCCCCCAAAACGCCCAAGCGCAGTGGCAGGGCGTGCCCAAAAGTACCAAAAATGGAGCGAAAAGGCGTGTGCGGAGGGTGCCGGAACGGCAGTTTCGGAACCCGTTAGGAAGACTAGGAGGGCCCGGGAGCGACAGGGCCAAACCCAGCCCAGGCACGGCCAGGCCGCAGTCACGCAGACGGCGCGCCCCCCGCGCCCCCCAAAAGTCCAAGCGCAGTGGCAGGGCGTGCCCAAAGTACCAAAAATGGAGCGAAAAGGCGCGAGGGTGCCGGAACGGTGTTCGGAACCGTTACGAAGACTACAGGGGCCCGGGAGCGACACGGCCAAACCCAGCCCAGGCACGGCCGGGCCGCAGTCACGCAGAGGCGCGCCCCCCGCGCCCCCCGCCCCCCCGCGCCCCCCGAAACGCCCAAGCGCAGTGGCAGGGCGTGCCCAAAAGTACCAAAAATGGAGCGAAAAAGGCGCGTGCGGAGGGTGCCGGAACGGCAGTTTCGGAACCCGTTACGAAGACTAACAGGGGCCCGGGAGCGACAGGGCCAAACCCAGCCCAGGCACGGCCGAGCCGCAGCCACGCAGAGGCGCGCCCCCCGCGCCCCCCGCGCCCCCCGAAACGCCCAAGCGCAGTGGCAGGGCGGAGGGTGCCGGAACGGCAGTTTCGGAACCCGTTAGGAAGACTAGGAGGGGCCCGGGAGCGACAGGGCCAAGCCCAGCCCAGGCACGGCCGGGCCGCAGTCACGCAGAGGCGCGCCCCCCCGCCCCGCGCCCCCCGAAACGCCCAAGCGCAGTGGCAGGGCGTGCCCAAAAGTACCAAAAATGGAGCGAAAAGGCGTGTGCGGAGGGTGCCGGAACGGCAGTTTCGGAACCCGTTAGGAAGACTAGGAGGGGCACGCAGAGGCGCGCCCCCCACGCCCCCCACAACGCCCAAGCGCAGTGGCAGGGCCCAAAAGTACCAAAAATGGAGCGAAAAGGCGTGTGCGGAGGGTGGCGGAACGGCAGTTTCGGAGCCCGTTACGAAGACTAGGGGCCCGGGAGCGACAGGGCCAAACCCAGCCCAGGCACGGCCGGGCCGCAGTCACGCAGAGGCGCGCCCCCCGCGCCCGGCAGGGCGTGCCCAAAAGTACCAAAAATGGAGCGAAAAGGCGGAGGGTGCCGGAACGGCAGTTTCGGAACCCGTTAGGAAGACTAGGAGGGGCCCGGGAGCGACAGGGCCAGACCCAGCCCAGGCACGGCCGGGCCGCAGTCACGCAGAGGCGCGCCCCCCGCGCCCCCCAAAACGCCCAAGCGCAGTGGCAGGGCGTGCCCAAAAGTACAAAAAATGGAGCGAAAAGGCGTGTGCGGAGGGTGGCGGAACGGCAGTTTCGGAACCCGTTAGGAAGACTAGGAGGGGCCCGGGAGCGACGGGCCCCCCGAAACGCCCAAGCGCAGTGGCAGGGCGTGCCCAAAAGTACCAAAAATGGAGCGAAAAGGCGGGTGCGGAGGGTGCCGGAACGGCAGTTTCGGAACCCGTTAGGTTAGGAAGACTAGGAGGTGCCCGGGGGCGACAGGGCCAAGCCCAGCCCAGGC